TATATATATATATATATATATATATTCATTTCTTTATATATGTTGTCTTCTATGAATATTAGCATTTATAGAATATTCCTTATTTCCTGAAATTTGGCTTGGCTTCCATTAGTCATAACTATATTTATAAACTTACTAATCCAAATGACATATAATAGCATGTCATTGAAATAAACTAAAAACATCAGACTAGTGTAGTCTTCTCTATACACCAGAAATAGTCACACAATTATGGGAGTGAAAACATACACTTCCTCCTACAACAAACTTTTATGATGACCAGTAATTCATCTCCTTGGTTGTCCTGGAAAAATCCAAGTGCAGTAAGGCTTTTGCAGAAAGTACCCAGAATGCAGTCTAGTTGTATATTGTCTTGTATTTGCCTTGGGACCTTGGGCCATTTACTTCTCTCTCAGCCTCTGCTTCCTCATTATTACAGCAGAAATAATACTCTTTTCTCTGCTCATGTCCTAGGATCATTGTGAGGATCAAATGGCCCAAAGCGTCCACAGCAGCAATCCAGACACAGGGAGAGGGTCCACCATTACTGCCACACACTGGTTCCCAGCCTTATCACCGGAAGACCTCCTTTTATTTATTTTTGTTTTCTTTTTTTTAGTTAATCCTCACCTGAGGATATTTTTCCATTGATTTTTTTTTTGAGAGAGAGAGAGAGTGGAAGAGAGAGGGAAAGAGAGAGAGAAACATCGATGTGAGAGAAACACATCGATTGGTAGCCTCCTGCATGAGCCCTGACTAGGGCCTAGGCTGGGGAAGAGCCTGCAACCAAGGTACATGCCCTTGACCAGAATCAAACCCAGGACCCTTCGGTCCGCAGGCCGCCACTCTATCCACTGAGCCAAATCGGCTAAGGCCATCCTTTTATTTCTTGAAAAGTGTTTTATTTTCCCAAATGGCTTTTAAAAATAATAATTTAGTCATTTTTTTCATTTTTGTTCAAAAATACATTTATAAATATCAATGAGGGTTTTAGGATTAATAGAACTATTGTTACTGTGCCAAGTTACTTTTTTTTTTCAGTCAAAAGCAAAGAAGTTTGATGTTATACATCTTTGTAAGGGATAAATGTTTAGACTTTTAGACCTTAATTTTAATACTGAAAATAACTCTAAGTGTCCTGGGACTTCCACTGTGGGCCTTCAGGCATTGAAGGCTAGTTAAAGAGCCGCCTGCAAGCCAGGAGAAGGGTGTCCCAGTCCGGGCTCTGCCTCGGCTGTCTCTATGACTCCGAGCAAGTCACTTGAACTCTTTGGGTCTCCGGTCTTAAACCAGTAAAATGGGTTGGTTGACCAGATTCTCTCTAAAGTCACTTTAGTTTTGACATTCTATGGTTCTAGATTATCCTGAGCATTTTAAGTAACAAGTACCCCACACCATTAACCAACCCCATCCCACCTTATTAACTGTACTGCTTTCATTCGTCATAGCTAACATTTGGCGAATCTACTGGGCACTCAAATAAGTGCTTTATGTGCATATGTCCTTTATTTCTAACAAAAACACTAAGAGGTGCCTACCATTATTCTCCTCACTTTACAGGTGAGGAAACTGAGGCTGAGAAAGTTACTTGCCAACGTTACACAAACTGTGACAGAGAAGGGATTAAACTGAAAACTGCCTGAATCCAAAGTCCCTTCTCTTTCCACTTCACCAAAGTATCTGCCTCCTCTGCAGACAGAAATATGATTACATGTGGCTCTCTTCACTCAGGAGAACGTATATGCCCCTTGTCAACATTCTCCACCATCCCTCTGAACTGTGTCTTTGGTTGTATATAGTAACTCATCTTTCTCTGTGCCTTAAGACAAAACTAGTGTATACAATGAGTCTAGAAAAAACTGTTTTCATTTCTAAGGTGAAAGCAAATGATCTTTTTTTTTTTAAAGTCAGACTTTAAATACTGATTAGCAATATCAGTACAGGAGAAATACTGGCTGGGTCTTTAACCTTACATTGAAGGTTACTTCGGCAACTCAGACACATTTTCCATTTTCTGATAAGTTTTAATAACCTAGTTCAAGGTAAAAACAAACTAACCTTAAAGTTAATAATTATTTACCCTTGATAGAAATAATTATTTACCCTATTAATAGAAAACCAGTCATTTCATTTTTCTTTCAAACTATTCCTGACATCTTTCCTTCCACCTTCACTGACTCTAGCCTAACCTAGACCCTGACCACCACTCCCCTGATGACAACCACAGTCTCCTAGTTGTCCTTGAGTCCAGTATTCTCTGCCCCTTTCTCCTCCCAAACAATATTCCTGTCAGACAGGGCTCCTGTCCCTGATATTGTTTAAACTGAATTGCTCAAAACTCTAGGACGACTCAAGATGTCTGTTTTTACTGAATCAAAGCTAAGATCTTCAGTGTGGTTCTAAAGCCCTCGATAACCTGATATAGTCATTTTTACAAATCTTCCTGGCTCCTAACCTTGGGGAAACATGCAGCCTACATTCTAGTCAGAGCAACGCCCCCTATATAAGGGTCAAGAGAGTGGTCTCCAAAACTAGGCTGTCATACCTATCACTTACTAGTTATGGGTCCTTGGTTATGGCATTTAACTTGTCTATGCCTCAGGTTCCTCAACTGTTAAATAAGATTAAAAATAGTATGTACCCTAAAAAATACCTGAGTATACCTCAAATCTGCCCAGGTGATGAAAAACAAGGAAAGACTGAAAAACTAATAAAATATATTAAGCTCTAACCTTGTCACAGACCAGAGAAGACTAATAGATGTGATGACTAATGTAATTGGTGCCTCAGATAGGGTCCTGGAACAGAAAGTGACATTCGTGAAAAAACTAGTGATATCTGAATAAAGTATGACGTTTAATGAATAGCAATATACCAATGTTGGCTTCTTAGCTTTTGACAAATGCACAATGGTATTGTAAGATACCATCATTGAGGGAAAGTGAGTGAGGGGTATACAGGGACGCTGTACTATCTAATTACACCAGGTACCGTCCATGGGACAGAATGTGCTAATTGTCAACCTCCTAGTCCAACTTGTGATACTCTGTGATGCCTAGGTGAAGGCTCTGTTTCTCCTTTGGCTGGTTTTCTACTAGGTTCCACCAATACGGGGTGCTAGAAAGAGACTGCAAGGACTGAGGAAGAATGAAGGGTCTTGTTGCCCCAGCAACAGTTCTTTATCTGACAGAAGCAATAGATTCCAATCTCCAACTTCTTCCTGCACTCCAAAAAAAAATTTTTTTAAAATGGCATCACTGCATCTCCTCAGAATCACCAGCATCAGCAAGGGAGTGACAACAACAAGCAAGTCTGAATATAGCAACACAAATAAAACTGCAGGAGAGCTCATGCCATGGCTGATAAATAGCAAGCTCGTGAGTTACCTGCATGGGATAATACAAACAATAAGAAAACATTCTGATGCCCTGATGAACGGCAGCCTTGGTCCCTGACACAAGTGGATATAAGAGATCCACCCACGACGACTTTGTAGAACAAAACCTCCCTTTGCCACAAAAATCTACCGGATCCACTGTCCCCTTGTCTTGTTGGGAGCCTTGTTTCCAAGGATGCTACAGGGTCCCCACTGACGGGTGCTGTCAATTTGGAGACAACCTTCCCAGCAGCTGCCCACCTGCTGTGACACCTGCCCTCCACCCTGCCGCGTTCCTGACTCCTAGCGCCATTGTTTGGCAGTTCCACAGCCGCCACCCTCCTCCAAACCTGAGCGTGATCTCTGTCCCAACCTGCATCCAGCCCTGTGAGTGTGAAGCACCTTGTGCCAGTTAAAGATGTTTCAAAGGGCTTGCCCACATTGCCTCAAGGGACTGCAATAGTCATTAAGGGCTGCTCAGCAAATGGTCTTTAATTCGAAGCTCTGGAAGAAAATGTTCTGACTCTGTGCCTTCAGTTTTGCAGTGTTTGTTCTGTGTTTTAGAAAAATGATTTCAAATGAGAAGAGAAAAATGCTATCATGGCCTCCTTAGTACTTTAAAATAACTACCACTGCTCCCCAAACCACATACTGTCTCAATGTTTAATGCTATAATGACCCCACAACTCTTGACACATGCATACATCATGAACTATGAATGTGTCCAGTGGAAGTACACTTTCTGATGACATCAACATAAATCTCATCCAGAAAGGAGGCCTCACAGGGATATGTAAATACCTGAAGAAAACTGTCTGGATAATAAAATATACTAAGCTCTAACCTTAGAATCATTTTAAATTCTGAGTGGTAGTGCCTACTTTATTAGTA